ATAGTGGACTTGCTTATTGAGAGACTTAATCTGTTTTCTCAACCGCTTATGTTGATAATATAGTTTGTTCAAAAAAAAAAAACTACGATCAAAAGTTCTCCTCTCCCCTTGCAAAAATGGTATTGCTACTACATTTTCATATTACATTTGTACAACATCTCTAATAAAAATGTGGTAAAAATATAGTATGAAAAATGTAGTCAGCACAACATTTCATTCTCTTATTTTCTTATGGAACAAAAAAAAAAAATATATATATATATATATATTATATACATATTATGGGCATATAAGGCTAATGCATGTAGAAAGCGAACAAAGTGTCATTGTAGTTAAAATGTCTTATGCATGCACAAATGTAGAAAGGAGAAAAGCTCTGTATGTCTCGCGTAGGGCCGTCGTGTAAAAAAAGTTGCGTGCATGTATATATTTGGCCAATAATGACAGCAAGCTTGTCTTATTTGAGGAATGTCGAATATCTTGTATATTTTCTTTTTCTTTAATTTAATTTGATTACTGCGTGTCAATCACGGTTAGACATATGGGTGGACATGATTCGGTTCAGATTGAGCCTCAAGAGAGATTTTGAAGTGTGATCTGCACACAAAGTGGTACATTACGTATCATTATACAAATAGTGAGATATGTATCTTAAAAAGTTAATAACTTAAAGAATAATTTTTTTCATTACTTATATAAAAACACGTGATGTACTACCCGTCTTCCGGTTATAATTAAAATTTTCTCGAGCCTCAGCCCGCTAGACGGTCAGCGAGGCTCAAGTAGACATTTTTACAAACCATTTTCACCAAAGAATATAGGTAAACGAATCCACCAAACCCGTCGCTACGTGGTTGGGGTGGACGGGTTTACGTGTTGAGCTTCATGGCAAGAAATGTCCACAAGCCTAGAAAACAACCAAATAAAAAAATCCCACACATGACATAACTAACGAGGAAAGATAAAAAGAAAACTAATGAAAATGATTTGAAAATTTTAAGTTTTAACGATAAGGATAAAATAAAGAGTAAAATAAATAGTACCATAATTGATTTTTTAGTATAAAAATATGGGTTTTCGTCAAAATAAACAGTACCGGAAGCATTTTGTTAAAGTTTCAAAAAATAAAATCTAGTTAATCAACTTAGGCCCGTTTAGCGGCTTGCATAAGGAACCGGATAAGATTAATAAGAAGGAGGATTCTCTACCCTCCTATTCTCATCTTTTTTCATCTCCTCCTCTTACACATTACTTTTTATCTTATTATCTCTATAAAAAAAATTAATATAAAATATTGACGTAACTTAACCGTGACCGTTCAAACAGAAAAACATGAAAGGATAAAGAAATTAGAAGAGTAGAGAATCCGTCTCCTTAATAATATGAATCCACTCATTTGGTGATCTCCCGCATTAAGTAGCCACCGAATTATTTAACCGGTTTCACTTACTTTGTACGGTGTATGCCCGCTTAATAATACTGTCCAAAACACCTGTATTATTAGTCGGGTTTCCTTCTCTCGCGAACTCGTCTGCACATTTCAGTTGAAGAATTTGTTTGTGCCTTCCTGTTTCTTCTCCGACCCAACAAGAATTCTCTAGCTTTCCAACTGGCAAATTAAACCCAGCCCATGACATCCTGCCGACCAACACACCAAAAAAAGATCTTGAAATCCCTTGAACTTGACTGCTTCTGGCTACAATCGCGCCGCTCTGCAGTCTCGTTGTCTTTGTTTTCACACCCATGATGGCGGATCGATAATTGAGACAATTTCATCTGGATTTTGGGAGTAATTAATGATTTTTTTTTTGTGAGGTAATTAAATTCAAAATCGGGAAATTTCATCTGAATTTTTTATTTCAATGGATTAGAAACCATGGAGAATTGGAGATGATGGAATCTGGTAGCAGTGATTGCGAGGAGAGGTGGAATTGAGCTTTTGATTTCAATGGTATGTTGGCGATGGTGAGTGCTGGGCCGCTGCCTGGGTTGGTTTCTTTCTCTTTTCTGGGTTTTCTGTCGGTGTGCAACAATTTTTTTAATTGTTATTATTTAGTTATCTTTTTTTTTTCTCCATTTTATCATCCATGAGTTTTTGAAATTTGTCTTTTTTAATCCTTTTTTTTTCATTTATCATCAATTTTTTCTTAAAACAATAATAATCTTCTTATCCGATGCAATATCGATACAGTATTAATAGTCTGATGTTAGTCCGATATTGTATTAAATACGCGATTATTTAGTTAGTATATTCTAAACTGTCAAATGAGCTCTTAAAATATTTTTATTGTGCCGAACTATCTCGAACTCAACTATCTTCCTAGACTAAATGGCAAAACAGACTTGAATTGAGCGGGCGGGTGGGTTTTCTCCCAAAATTCAAAATTTCTAAAATTATATCTGACCCAATCTAAAGCTAGCCAGTTGAATTGATCAGATTGATTGAACGGTTTGTCTGTCAGTATGCCGGATCCCTAGTTGACCGTGTATAACACAAATATTCTCTTTTGTCAGTAAAAATGGTGATGTTCATAGATTAGGTATGGTTTTTCATTTTCCGAATAATTATTTAATGTTCTTGGAGGTGACCATGTACAACACAAATATTCCCTTCATTTGATGATTGTTTTCTTTTCCAAATAAGGTCCTTCATTTGATGATTATCCTTTATAATTTTTTTTGTTCTTTTGTAAGATTGTGTTCTTTTTATCATGTGATGATTATATTCTTTTATCTGGCATGTGCATATTCTCATCACTTTCTAGAAGTAGGAATAAGAGAGAGAAATGCGGAAATATATATAAAACACTCTTATGTCACGTTTACGTTAAGGTAATTTTAATAAATAAAAAAAGTTGAATTAAATTCTAATTAGGATACCCTGTTGTTTATAAATATTGGAGAATAAAAAATATGGCGCGACTGAAATGAATTTTGAAATTCAACTTCAAAATTTGGAGGAATTGGATTTCCTTTAATTTGGTGGTAACCGAATTCCGGGTTATTTGAGAAATTGAAATGGATTTTTCCTTCTCATTATACCTCACTTATTTCTGAAATTTTACAGTTGCCATTTGCGTTAACCCAACACCAAATTATGTTCTCTCTTAGAAAAAAACTAAAAAAAAAAAAAAAAAAAATCAAAGAATCAAAGTTTTTTCATAAAGTTAAAATAAAATAAAGTTTTATTAAAAATAAATAAATAATCAGCATATACAATAGATTACTATAACATGAGCATTTTAGTAATCACATTGATTTAATTTTGATTCATGTGAATTAGTAAGCACAGAAGTGAATGAAGAAGAAATTACTAGATCATGCCCTTCGAAATTCAATTGACTTGTTTCAAGGTTATTTCAAACATTTCAACTCTCCACCCTTCTTCAAGATATTTTACCTAAAATTTTCATAGAACTAGATTTAAATTAAAACAAAACCCCTATCTTAATTTCTTCTCATATAGATATATAAATAACTAAAAAAAATTTCGGTTACTCTTGTGTTTATCCATATCATGTCGAGTGACAATTGAAGATCTAGTGAGTCCTGGGGTCGCAGACCATTCTCACTCTCACGAGGTCATTCAATCGGTTTGTTTATCTGTTTATCTGTTCATCCGTTCTGAGTTTCGATATTACTCCATCATCTCACATTGTGGGATAAGCGACAGGTTGAGCCACCCATACAACGAAGATAAGAAGTTGTAGGGGTCTAAACGGAAAATGTTGTAGGGATCTAGTTATGAAAAGTGAAACCAAAAGCTTTCCTTCAAGTTTTATGGCTCTGATTGATCAAGAAGGAATTGTCTAAATACAAAATAAAAACTGAAATTATCCTCCGCAAATTCCTTGTATGCAACTCTTTCTTTAGATATGGATCATAAAAAATACATGATATCATTCACACTGCATGGTTATCGTCATCTATGAAGAAAATAAAAACCTCATTAAAATGTTCTGATCATATATGAAAAAATGTCTTTGGTACATATTTTGGAAACAAAGTGGGTTCAGGTGCACTAACTCACTGAGCTATATTCACAATATCGGCTTAGTGGGATAAACATATTACGGTTGTTTCTATTGTAAAATTGAAGAGTGAATGTGTTAGTTGGGTCTTTTGGATAATTAGGTATTGACTTTACTATAAATATGATAGTCATTAACATCATGTGAGTTGAATTTGAAATTTTTCACTTACAAATAAAATAGTACTGGTTGGTTTTCTGATTTTTCATTTTCTTTTTCTTTTCCTTATTTGTTCGTAGTTGGTTTTCTGATTAGTTAAAATCCTTAATTTGTGCTTTTTGCTTTTATTTTTGGATAAATTCCACACACCCAACACCAACTTTTTTTATTCTTTTTTATTTTTTATTTTAAGAAAATGGTATATTCGTGAATCTAACGTCCTATTTGGTATAACATTTTTTCATTAAAAATAAGCAATACACTGTTTGATAAAAATAAAATATCATGCTTATTTTAAAAATAATAAACTCTCCCTACAACTTTTAAAATGTCTTTATGTTACTTTTGAAAGATGCTTTCACAAATCAAATGAACTCTTGAATAAAGTCAATTTTGGATTAACCAGTGTAACTTTTGTTTTTTTGGTTGAAATCACAGTTATAAGGTCAAAATCAAATATTGACTTTAGTCCTTTGACCATATGTCCCAGTCATATTTTAATTTTCTAGTAGTCTACTTTGGTTAATTTTCTAGTAGCCTATTTTGGTTAATTTTCATCGATCTTCCTTTAAGAGTTAATGGAAATCCAAATCTTACGCAAGGACTGAATCTAATTAACCTTTTATTCGTTTGGGTACATAACCATTACAAGCTTCATATCGAAAACAAACATGCATCCACCCCATTGAGCATATCTCAAATAGAGTTCCGCAACTTAAGATCTTTGAAAGCATGACAAGAAACAGATTAGAGGCAAAACCTCAATTATTTAATCCAAATAAAACTTGATAATTTAGATTTGCAAACCCATTACTTCATAAGAGGATCATAAAGCCGAAGTGATGGAAGTGCTTTGCCCTTGAGCTTTGCCTTGGTACTAATGTACTCATTCCAATTAGTGACCAGCGGGTAGAGGGGAGGGTGGCTTGGGCCAACAAGCTTTGCTAGGGGTGCGATTTTGACGGCTGCCGGCGGTCCATAATGGTAAACAAGTGATATACGGTGTTGTGCCCGTTTCACCAAGACCCGATGGAGGACACTCGAGTACAAACCGTTAGATAATATGCTCATGAGGTCACCAACATTGATCACCAGAGCACCGGGAACTGGTTGAATCGTGAACCAACCGGTGCCCTCCCGAAAAACTTGCAAGCCATCGATGTTGCTCTGGTGGACAATGGACACAAGGCTCGAATCAGTATGGGGAACAAGGCCTAGGGTCCGATCTGGATCCGGACAAGACGGGTAAGAGTTGAACTGGAAGACAGCAGATGCATTTTGATCATCACCTTTTGGACCATCCCATTCGACGTCGTCCTTGGATATTCCTAACGAGGCAAGCATTAGCCACACGAGCCTAGAGGCAAGCCTCTTGATCTCTCTCTCAAATTCTTCGGTAATGCAACTGAAAAAAGAGAAAATATTCAACGTTGGGTCAGTCAGTGCACCCGAATTAAGCAAGAACCACTTAAAAAAAGGGAAATTAAAAGGCGTATTGCTCTTTGGATATGCATACTTATTGACACATGATCTAATGGACGTACGTTTCATATACAATGATAGGACCCGTCTATAAATAACAATCACTCTATAAATAACAAAGAGTAGTTAGTTGTACGTGTCATGAGTACTGTGATGGGGTACCAGAATTTGGTGTAATCTTGGGGCCAAAGTTGCGCATAATGTTCAAGTGGTGAGCCAACAATAGTGAAGCACTCAGACCACTGCTGCTTGTCCCAAAAGGCAGCTATGAGATGGAAGCCGTAGCCGGAAATTTGACCCGGTGAGCGGGCAGCTTTGAGCTTTTGTTGGGCTGGCAGGGAGAAAAGGCTTCGAGCAGCAGATTCCATGGCATGAACCAGAGACTGGGGGATGCCATGGTTTGTGAGTTGGAAGACACCCCAAGTCTTGCAGGCATGGCCTAACAGTTGAAGGGCATTTGGGTCATTCAGATCGACAACGGGGACGGAGTCCGACTCCAGGGAGGGATGCTCGTTGAGGGTTGTCCATGCATACGAATCTGGCAACTCATGTAATGAGTTGAAGTCATCAGGGACTTTGTCCAACACCACATTCACAGAGTTGCCTTCGTAGGCATCAGGGACAACACTTGCACTTGCACTTGCAGGCATGGTAGAGAGAGAGAGAGAGAGAGAGAGAGAGAGAGAGAGAGAGAGAGAGAGTATTTGTACTTGGGATGAAATTTGATGCCCTTAGCTAGTGATGAATATATAGGCATTGTCAAAGCTTCTCAAACCCAGTAATTAACCCAACACATTTTTAGATCACGTGGGTGTACCACATAATGCAACAAATGATATTATAATTAACATTAATGAAATAAACTCATTAATAACATGTATACATCACTTGCAACGTCAAATCTTACACCAATATGATTTAGTATTTTTCAAAAATAAAAGGCGAAGATTGGTAGAAAAATAAGAGGAGTCATGTTCAACTTTATAAATTAAGTAAAATGTCAGGAATACCACATTTTTGCAACATTTTTGTGTACCATTCTGATGTGGCAAATAATATGCATATGTCACGTCTATTAATGAATTTATTTATGGACAATCACATTAATAGACGTGCATATTAACAATCATCTATGTCGCGTCTATTAATGAATTTATTAATGTGTGTGCATTCACATTTTTCATCCTTCATTTCACTCATTTTTGTGTTCAACCTAGCATTACTCATAAATTAAACTGTTGAATTTGATTTAATGAACTAAAACATTTAAATTGAGAGAAAACAATGAAACAAGAAAAGAAAAAAAAAACAGATTCATAAACAAAAGTGAGGTGCGGCTTCAATGCTACGTATCATTTAGTGTGTTTAAGTGACATTTATCTCTACAACTAGTTAGACCTTCTATTTTTAATCTCAATCATTTACTTTATCATTTCATTTAATGTTACGTACTACTGAAGAAATTCCCTTGAAAATGAGAGTCAGATATGAGAGAAGAGGATGAAAAAGGAGCCAAAATGATGACAAGTAACCGACAACACACAAAAATGAGTGAAATGAAGGATGAAAAATGTGAATGCACACACATTAACAATGTGGGAAAAGGATGAAAAATGTGAATGTGTGTTTAATGAATATCTTCAAAAGATGTGAAACTGACAGAAGAACAAAAGGAGACAAACGTGATCTCAATCCATAACTGAAACATTTTCTTCTGGATCGATTGTTTGTTTCTATGAACTTGAATTTATACATTGTCAAAATATATTAGAGGATTATCCATCCATGCACAAATGACAAAAGAAAAATAAATGAGAAACTTGCCACCGTAAAGTGGTAGATTGCTTTGGTGGTTAGTCTTTTTCTTCAACCTACATTGTTTGTGGTTCAAACTCTCCTTCCCCTCTTTAGCGTGAACTGGTGTAAAATATTGATTGTAATAAAAAAAATAGAAAACTTCATTTTAATCCTTGGCAAAGATGACTTTTAGATTAAAACCATAAGTTAAATCAAAATCTAATTTTAGTCCCTTGATACATTAATAACCTAATTTTTAATGTATTCATTTTATTTCATTATAATTTTCCTTTTCATTTCATTTATCGTAATATATTTTGTTGTAAACATTTAGATAAACTAATTTTTGTTATACAATACATTTCGATGTACTTTGTCCTTCATTTAGGTACATTAAATTCATTATAATACATTTTGATGCATACATTTAGGTACACACATTTCAATCAATACATTTCGATACAAACATTTAGGTACATTAATTCAATATAATACATTTCGGTACTAACATTTTGGTATATACATTTCGGTATACACATTTAGGTATATTAATTTAATATAATACATTTCGGTACTAACATTTCGGTGCATACATTTTGGTGTACACATTTAGGTACATTAATTTATTATAATATATTTCAGTACTAACATTTAAATACATTAGTTAAATATAATACATTTCTGTACTAACATTTAGGTACATTAATTGAGTCTTTCAAGTTTGAATAATGTTAAAATAAAATTAATAATTAAAAAACTCTTTTTTGGTCAAAAAAAAAAATGACAATTTGTATGTTAATAAATTTAAATATTTAATAAGAGACATTAAATCAAATGCACATTAATTCTTTTGAATTAAGGACACATCAAGGGATTATTATCAATATGTAATCTAACACCAGGTTTATTTTAAATTTCAATCTTATTGAAGGATTAAAGTTAATAAAAAAGAGGTTTTTGAACATTAGTCCTTGCTAAAGATTAAAATTTAAAAAAAAAAAAAAACCTGGTGCTAGATTACATATTCAATTTAATTCGTTGAAGCGTACTTTTATCAAAATTTATATTCAATTTTTATTATTTAATGTGTATTTTTATTTAATCTCTCCACATTAAATTTTAATTTTATTAATATGCACATATTTAGTTCTTTAATTATAAATGAACATAAATGAGAAAATATTAAAAGAAATTTGTGATACAAAAATATATAAATGCATATGTCACATCCCGTCCTGGGCCCCCACCACATTCCAGGCTCAACTCCACCATAGCACGATATTGTCCGTTTTGGGCCCTGACCACGCCTTCACAGTTTTGTTTCTGGGAACTCACACGAAAACTTCCTGATGGGTCACCCATCATGGAAGTGCTCTTGTGCGCTACTCGCTTAACTTCGGAGTTCCCATGGAACCTGAAGCCAGTGAGCTCCCAAAAGGCCTCGTACTAGGTAAAGATGGGAATATACATATAAGGCTTATAAGATCCACTCCTCTGGGCGATGTGGGATCTCACAATCCACCCCCCTTAGGGGCCCGACGTCCTCGTCGGCACACTTCCGGCCAGGGATTGGCTCTGATACCAAATTGTCACATCCCGACCTGGGCCCCCACCACATCTCGGGCTCAACTCCACTGTAGCACGATATTGTCCGCTTTGGGCCCTGACCACGACTTCACGGTTTTGTTTCTGGAAACTCACACGAGAACTTTCTAGTGGGTCACCCATCATAGAAGTACTCTCGTGCGCTACTCGCTTAACTTCAGAGTTTCCATGGAACTCGAAGCCAGTGAGCTCCCAAAAGGCCTCGTGCTAGGTAAAGATGGAAATATACATATAAGGCTTACAGGATCCACTCCCTTGGGCGATGTGGGATCTCACAATCCACCCCCCTTAGGGGCCCGACGTCCTAGTCGGCACACTTCTGGCTAGGGATTGGCTCTGATACCAAATTGTCACATCCGGGCCCAGGCTCCCACCACATCCTGGGCTGAACTCCACTGTAGCACGATATTGTTCGCTTTGGGCCCCGACCACACCCTCACAGTTTTGTTTCTAGGAACTCACACGAGAACTTCCCAGTGGGTCACCCATCATGGAAGTGCTGTCATGCTACTCGCTTAACTTCAGAGTTCCCATGGAACCCGAAGCCAGTGAGCTCCCAAAAGGCCTCGTGCTAGGTAAAGATGAGAATATACATATAAGGCTTACAAGATCCACTCCCCTGGGCGATGTGGGATCTCACAACATAAGTGTATAAAAATGATTGTGCCGAAATATATAAAATTAACTTTTTTGTACCTAAATATTTGTACCTACATGATTGTACCGAAATATATTATAATGAACCTAAATGTATGCACCAAAATGTATTGTGTTGAATTAATGTACCTAAATGTCAACACCAAAATGTATATACCAAAATGTACATACCCAAATCTAGTATATTGAATTAATGTACCTAAAAGTCAATACTCAAATGAGAAGTATTAGGTTCGAATATCGTAGATAATAAATTCGATACCAAATTAGGTTGTCCATTGTGTAACTTAGTTGAACGTCTCTTGCCTTAGTGTAAAATATATCGTTGTACTTAAAAAAAAAAAAAAAAAAAAAGAACTCAGACGTGTATACCAAAATGTACGTACCGAAATGTGTATATATATATTATGATAATTGAAATGAAAATTAAATTTAAATGTAATTAATACATTAAAACAGGAATAAAAAGATAAATAAAACATCAAAATATAACTAATAAATGAGATGATTAAATGTACTAGGGACTAAAATTGGATTTTAATCTTACACAAAGTTATAGTCTAAAACTCATCTTTTTTAAGGATTAAAATGAAGTTTTCTAAAAATAATAATAATAAAAAATAAAAATAAAAAATAAAAACTTGCCACCATCTCTATATATATGCACACAATCCTCACTCTCTCACACAATCCTCTCCCCCTCTCTCTCTAGTAGAACTATCTACTATGTCCAGTGGAAAACTCTCAGATGCATTCAAATCCCACCCTATCTTTCTCCACAAGCAACAGCCAGACGACTTCAGTTCATTGCAGGAATTGCCGGAGTCGTATGCATGGACGTCACAGCTGAACGAATATCCGTCTTTCGAATCATTATCTTGCTCAGAGTCTGTGCCGGTAATCGATCTCACCGACCCAAATGTCGTTGAACTCGTAGGACATGCATGCAAGACTTGGGGCATGTTCCAGGCCACAAACCATGGCGTCCCTCAAAAACTTGTTGACGACATGGAATCTACTGTTCGAAGCCTTTTCTCTCTGCCACCCCAACAAAAGCTCAAAGCAGCTCGATTGCCCGATGGCTTTTCCGGTTACGGTTTCCATCGCATATCTGCCTTTTGTGAAAAGCTTACGTGGTCTGAGAGCTTCACTACCGTTGGCTCACCACTTGAACATTTTCGCCAACTTTGGCCCCAAGATTACACCAAGTTCTGGTATGTACGCATGCATGCACGTATTACTCCAGCCACTAATAATTACATATACATTATTTAGATATACAAAACTAACATATGTGTTTTACAATATGTCGTGTATTCGAGAATGTGTTAGCAATTAAGTGTCAGTTTTTTGTCTCTAAATTGCATATTTAAATATATATATATATATATATATGTGTGTGTGTGTGTGTGTGTGTGTGTGTTGTGTTTTTGCTTTGAATGGTGTTTGATTTTTGTTTGGTCAGTTGTATTGCTGAAGAATATGAGAGAGAGATGAAAAGGCTTGCGGCTAGGTTGATGTGGCTAATGCTTGGCTCATTAGGCATATCCAAGGAAGACATCAAATGGGCGGGTCCAAGAGGTGAATTTGAAGATGCATCTGCAGTCCTACAATTCAACTCTTACCCGGCTTGTCCGGATCCGGATCGGACCATGGGTCTTGCCCAACATACTGATTCAACCCTCATTTCAATCGTCCACCAAAGCAGTAACGCCAGTGGCTTGCAAGTTTTCCGGCAGGGGGAGGAGGGCCGTGGGTGGCTTATGGTTCCACCAGTCCCTGGGGCTTTCGTGATCAATGTGGGTGACTTCATTCACATGTTATCAAACGGATTGTACCAGAACGTCCTTCACCGGGCAGTGGTGAACCGGAGCCAGCACCGCATATCGGTTGCTTACTTATGTGGTCCTTCGGAGAATGTTCAGGTCTCACCCCTCTCAAAATTACTTGGCCCGAGCTGTCCTCCGCTGTACCCGCCGCTCACTTGGAATGAGTACCTTGGAACCAAGGCAAAGCTTCACAACAAGGCACTTGAATCACTCCGACTGTGTGCTCCTCTTAATTAGTTAAGAGGATTTAATGAATGTAACCATATAACTACTTCGTCTTCCTTTGCTTACTTATCTATAACAAAATAATAAAACTTCGAATTCTGCTACGTAAGAAATTAAAGATATAAATATTTCTTACATGCCTTTGACTTGCTATAATATTCATGAATTTAACGCACAAGGAAATATAATACATTTTGTACAAAAAGTAGAATTTCTAGTTTATGATGTCTTCCTCTTCCTCCCCAAGTGTCTCTGTTCCCTCTCCTCCACCATCATCTTCATCACCACTATCATCATAATTCCCGACATCGTTGTTATTTCCAGAATGATTGTTATAAACTCTTCCAACCATGGATTTATCGCTTCCCTTTAAAGCATCCTTCTCTGCAAGTGAGGACAACTTTTCAGCCACCTGTTCCTCACCCGCGCTTTCTTTAACTGCTACAGTAGGAAATTTCAAAGGTTTGTCAGGACAATCTTTGAAGAAAGAGTTTGTTACCATGAACCTAAACACCTGCAGGAGGTGGCTTCTGTCTCTCCTAATTTCTGCACTAAGAAGCTTCTGCAGCAAGGTTGGCTCCCTCTTGTTGAAAGAAGGGTTATTAGACGAATCCTTTTGATGTGATCTTTGCCTCTTCGAAAACCGATCCCTTCTATCATATTTTTCTCTCTTACCAAATTTGTTTGCCAGTCTCCCCTTCTTGGTCAATGATTCATTATCTTCTTTTACATGCCCTTGATTTGAATCTGCGAGGTAGTATGATGGTACTTCGGCAACTTCAACTCCCAACTCAGCCTGCTTTGTAAGAATATCCTTGAGTTGCTGCAACGAAGAATAAGAAAAACTATCAAATATAGTAAAGTGGTGGCAAAGATTTACTTCCTCAGTATCCGGAACAAAGTAAAGGAAAACCAGTATATCACCTTCTGAAACATAAACATCAAGCATGATACCAGTAATAGAAGAATCTTAGTCTCTAGTAACTAGGTTCTGCATAACTTCCGACACTTTTGAATCTAATTTAAAGAAGATGGATGAAAAGATTTGGATTGATGGCATATAAACTCAGATCCTCACCCAGACAAAAAACTTAACGAAGAAGAGCTGTCTCAAAGAGCTCTCATGACATGATCCAAAATTTCAGGTTTAATGTAATACCAGTTATCTCTTTGAGTAACAATTAGAAATATAAGCCACGATGCAGCTTAGAGACAACATCAACAACAAAGCCTTTTCCCACTAAGCGGGGTCGGCTAACGATGCAGCTTATAGACATACTAACAAAATGCAAAAAGTTAACCAGAACTAGCTCAATTGGCCTAGGTGATAATGAGTTGAGCAAAAGTATTGCTCAGTCTTCTTCAATGATTAGTGTTCAAACAGTCAGCGCGAGTGCACGCTCACACACACAGAGAGATAGAGAGAGAAGTAACCGGCACACCTCTCGTCGAATGTTGGCCTCTCTTTCAATGACCTCTGAATTTATCATCTTTTCACTTATCTTCTGCAAGTGGCATTTTGATATTAGAAAATCTACATTTAGATGGAAAGAAAAAGCAGGCATGTCTCACAGTCAGCCAAACCTTCTCTATGTTGGATTTTGATGGATAGTGCTTCCTACGTTCTTCACGCCACCGCTCAATCTCTTGTTCCGTATATGACAAGGAAAGAGATCTTCTCATTTGGGACAGAAAGAAGGCGCATCCATATACATAAAAAGAGTGACAAGTTTCATTAAGAAACAGGACAGTGTGATCACTCAAAAGTCAAGATGTAAGGATTATGGATGCTGAGAATGTAAAGCTAATTCATGACTGTTAATTTTGCAATGTAAAGCACAAATACATATTACATTTTACTCCTATCTGTGAATTTCTAGGTACCACGCCCATAATTGTAAAAAGCTTTTAGACTTCGGGATTCACAGATGGCAGTTGCAGAAATACTCATCTTAAAATCAAAAGTAAAGAGGAAGTTTCTTGTTATCTATCCTCTTTCTTGGAGAAACATTATGGTATCATCAATTTTGGGATTACATTAAAATGGTATTTTCAAAGTCTTTGGAACTACAGTCAAACTTTGGCCTTCATTGACAAAACCAGTCAAGTTTCAATACTAATGTTACTGTGCTGCAAGGAGCGTGAACAAGAGGGAGAAACAATAAGACCCAGTTGGTATTATTGATACTTTTTTTTTTTTTTTTTTTTTTTTTTTTTTTTTTTTTTTGGAGCACTGCCAATTTGGCTGAGCTGGTTCAAAACTCAACTTGTTTAGCTAAAACATTTTTAGGTTGAGCCGTTTTAACTTCGAGTAAGCTTATTCTGGATAAAGGTTTGTAGGCCTGAATAAAAAAGGGACTAAAGCATAAATCAGCCCAATTTAGGCCTCACACAGTATCTTCAAATAATTTTTCCATGCCGACCTCCCAAATACTGCTCTACATAAAGGGCATCTGATCGCTGGGGCTCGAAGGTTGGGCTGGGATCAGCTCAGGCCAAGGAAATTGTATCTTAGTGAAGCTCAAACACGCCACCAGCCTGCCAATTGAAAATCCTACATTTGACTACTCAACTACTCAAGCAAGCTATTATATTTTGCGACACTGTTGAACTACCATGGTAAAGTAAGGGCCTGTCTGTTAACACTTCCATTTTTGGTTCAGTTTTTATATTTTAGTAATAGTAATAGGTAGTGAGGAAATGCAAGGAAGAAATAACGGACGGGGATGGGAGAGTGATGGGTAGGGAGGGATTGATGGATGAGGGATGAAATGTACAAGAAATGACCTACACGGAAAACCCAAAATTTAAACCTAGAAGCAATTCCAACTAGAAATTTAAACGCCAAAACGAAAGTGTTTCGAAATGAGCACTAAATAATTGAATATGATTATATCTAATGATGTTCTCAATTAATCCTCTTTATCAAATTCCCCCAAGAGAAAAAGTTCACTAATTACCACTAAAGACTTGGCGGCCTAAAGTTATGTTCCAAATGAAAAAATAGCTCTTTGTTAGAGTTTATAATGCAATAAACTAAGCCAAAAACAGCCTCAAAAGATGTAGTTAACCCGCTTTGTTGAAAGCCATCTTAACAGAGGGTCAGAGACAGGAATAATTTAATCAAGAGTATGTTGTTAAACTTATAAAAGAGTGTATAACTTAATCGAGTATGTTGTTAAACTAATAAAGGAGTAAAAGTATCTTCAAGACAGTCTACAAGTCCAATTGGTGAAATTCCAATTAGAGAGTCATAAATTCATTCAAAACTATATGATATGAGAGAGCAGAGGTTACCTCTTCCCTTGCTTGCCCTGGTTTGAAGAGTTGGCCAGAGCAAACTTTCCTTCGCTCTCATTTCTTAACCCTGCAATTTTGTGGACAGCGAGGAATGAACATCATGCTTACAAAAAGTATTCTGTACTTGAAAAAGTAACAGGAAATCATGGTTTATGATTTCTCTGCAACCCATCGAGTATGGACAATGACATTAAAGGAATAAACAGGAAAGATACTATATAAACTTGGTACTTGGTAGACAGGTATAAGTCCATACCTTTTCCTTTGTGCCCATTACGAAAAGTGAACTTTCCCTTTGCATTTTTCATATGATGTGACTGAGGATTCTGAAATCTACACAAACCATATTTATTAATAATCCCAAATCATTGGTCCAAATCTTCAGAAGTAAAAAAATGAAATGACACTAGTATGACCTACCCCCCTTGGTGATTCTTCTGATTTTTTGCAAAGTTTCTGCTTGGTGATTGTTTCCAATTGGAATTTGAATTGTAACCACCATTACTGTTTGAATTATTTCCCTGCAGAAGCTGACACCATTTTTATCAACCACAGCCAATGCATTTACTTCAAAGTAATATATATCTACTCTAGTTAGCAACTAACTGTTTTTAAGAAAATGTACTTCATAAAAAAAAATGATGGAAAACTATCTATATCAGAGTTAACAGAAAAAAGAGCAGGACATTTTGACAGCCAAATGATGTATTTTCAAAAAGCATGGCCTTACTATATCAATATAATGCAACAACATTGTCCATCGAATCATAACCAACAATAAAGTGGCCTACTTATCAGTATATATAATTAACCACCGAGCACACACATATACACAGACAAAGGTGATCTCGGAATTTACCATGCCCTTACAAAACATTACAAACTAAGTCTGTTACTAATCTTAAGAAGAAGAAACAAAAAAAAGGGGTCCATTTTATAACCATTTTGTTTTTAGTTTTTAGTTTTGATTTTTTATTTTTCTTTTCCAGCTAGAGATAAAGGAGAAATACATGGGTGCAATGACGGACATAGAAGGGTGGAGGAGGGATGGTGGAAGAGATGTAGAAGAAATGTATAAGGAAAGGTACACAAAATGAAAACTAAAACACAAAAATATCAAGATTTTGTTCTCATTCATTCTTCTTTAATTCTTCCCCTCTCTCCCACCAACCTTCTTTGTCCCTCCTTTTCCTCAAACACAATAACTGAAAACTAAAAACTAAAAATTATCAAACAGATAAATAAATGCAGCAATATTCATGTAATACATTTTGCCACAAAGACTATAAATTCAAATATCCGCAAGGCAAAACAAAGTTACCTGTGTCCCTTGCACTGGAGGTAGACCCAAGTTTTGCTGATTCTGGTTAGCTTGCTGGCCTGCCTGATTAGAATGCAGATTAGCCTGGTTATTTGCAAACAATGGGACATTTTGAGACATTGTGGCCCGAGGTGGTTGATTTGATCCCGGAAAAGCATAATTAGGACGGACTTGCGATGGATTTTGCAATTGCATTGGCACAAATTGATTCATGTTTTGCATTGAATTCGGCAAACAAAACTGCCCATACGGTAAACCCATATTCGGGTTCATCTGTTGCTGTAAATTTAACATGTTATGCCCAAATATCTGCCCAGGCACTTGAGATGACATCAATTGATTCACTTGCTGCACCAAATTGCAAAATTGCCCAACCGAGTTCATACCTTGCCCGTTACTTTGCGAACCAAAAAACCCAACATTCGGCTGACCCGGTTGAGATGTAGGGCCAACGGAACCGAACTGAGGCCTACCCAGATGGTTATTTTGCATAGGAAGAAGATTGTTTGGTAGATTCATGAAATTGGGTTGAGCTATCATGGAATTATTAGTACTAAATTGGACTGGAATTTGGGGATTCCTGATACCCAATTGAGGTTGCATCTGCATACGCATGGAACATTGCAACATATCAGATTCCGTAACCTCCTGTTACTTCTTAAACAAGCCATAAAAGCGAAAACCCAGAAAGCAGAAGTAGGTTGAAGTGAGTGAAAGCAGTTATATTTTTTGCAATGCAGGAGAAAATTACCTGGTGAGGAGGTGGAGCCGAGATACCCGTCGTGTGAGCTTGGTTGGAATGGCGAGGAAAGGAATTGTAGTGAGGTAACATTTTGCAGCGTCCAGACCGATACAGTGACTTCTGGGTAGTTTGAGGCAGTGGAGGAGGAGCTAGGGTTTAAGAAGGGTTTAGAGTGCCTCGTTGTTCGTTGTGTCGGGGGAGGGGGACAAGGATTTGGAGGATGGAGTGATTTGACAAAGCGAACAAGTCGGGCTTCTTTTGTTTCTTTTTCTAATTTCTACATATTGGGCCTGAAATTTTAAGCCCAAAAGGTTCGGTTTCTTAAGCCCTTCTCACTTTTGTGCAAGGACACATCTCTACGAATATGGGTCATGATCGGAAGATTTACACCCACTTCACCGGGCCATTTATTTTAATAGTCCATTTATTTTCTAGGTCTTCGTTTATATGTCTACCAAAACTCATTCAAATTCGAAATATGATTGTTGGATTAAATGATATTCGTTTTAGTGTTTCTTTGCAAAATTGTATTCATTCATTTTCTTCACTACAAATGAACGTCTTAATTCTAATTTTTTTGCAAGGATAATCTATGAGTGATGAATTCAAACATAAATAGTTCGGATCGTTGAAACAAGTTATAGAGTAGTCCTACAAAAATGTGTGTCAAAATGGTTGTCCCCTGATCCTTATCCTAATATAATATATAAGCTTATATTTTAACTATACTTCTTAGAACTCAATTTCGATCTCACTCTCCCCTGAAAACTCAGATGTTGCCATTTTGCTCCCTGAAACTCAAAAATCTTCACTTTACTCCTTGAAACTCGATTTAGATCACACGTTGACCCCTAACACTCAAACATCGCCACTTAATTCCATGAAACCCAATATTCAATCCACTTTGGCTTATTTGTATGTATTTTGTTACATAACCATTAAATTTACTTAAGTGCAAAATTAAGTCATACTTATGGTTGACGTGGTGCAAGTATAAAAATCACATATCCAATCAAATGATGCCGCATAGATTGAACAAACAAATTAAAAAAAAAGTAATTTTTCAAACATTGCATAACTTAATAAAAAAAAGTAAGAAAAATAACAAAAACAATTCTTGGGTTTCATCTCTCGGACCTCTCTCCCCCCTCTCTCTAATTGTTCATCCTTCTTCCTCCATCTTCAGCTTAGTTTCATTGATTTTGTTATTTTTTATGTTCTTAATGGAGGTAGTTGGTGAGAAAAGAGAGAAGATTTTTTTTTTATTCATTTATTTTGAGGGCATAAAAATGCTTCAAGAAGAACAATAGTTGAACAAGAAGAAAATCAGTGATATGGATGCTGAAATTCGAAAGTTTGGTTCTCAGAGCCTTCAACCAGCTCTCGCAAAAAAGAGCTGAACCTTGAAGAAAACTGAATTGAACAAATTTAAAACAACTCAACTTAAAAAGTTAGGGGTAAAATCGACAAATCATCATTTATTATAGTTGGGCCATTTTTAGTTGGATTAATTTAATATGAACCTTGCACTAACCATTAAACAAACTTATAACATGGTTTTTGGTTAAAATTAAAAATTTTCAAGCCATTTTCATTAATTTTCCTTTCATATATTTCCCTCTATATTTAGAAAGAATAAAAAATTGAAAACTAAAACTAAAACGAGTTGGTTATCAAACGGGCTATAAATTAATAAAAGCTCGTTATTTTTCAGCCCCTACATCTAACATTACCAGAAAAAGAATTTACCAGAAAGTGTAGCAAAGCCTTAAATATCAATCCCAGAATCAATCAAACATAATCAAACTTGGAGCGGTGAAGATAAGAGAAAACAACTGTAAAAACACATTTACAAAAATGGCTCAATAATTATCCATGTTCCAATAAGCAATTGGGAACGGGGGAAGGTGGGGGAGATAAAGAAAATTTCAGAAAATAAATTAGTAAAAAACGCTTCCCTCCCCACAGAATCTTGCCCCCTCTTCTGTTAAATTACAAAGTCGACGTATTTGTTAAAGGTAAGGACCAGAGACACCCAACTCTCAAGAAGCACATAGGTACCTATAATTCTGTCATATTGGAGTCAAGTATGTTCTTGATGCATGGTCGCTGAACTTTAAGTCTGTTCATCGCCCCAAAATTGAAAGTTTGAAGATTTCCAGGTAATTAAGTGATAATTAGGAATAAACTCACCTGAAAACATTCGGCATTCATCAATTTGTGTACGTCTTAACTCCTGATTTCGACAGCATTCATCCATTTATGTCAGTCTTATTTGCTTCAGATTTCAGCCGAATGAAAATGGAGAAGGGATAACCGCACAAATCACCTCTCATCCAGAAGCAGATACCGCCCTCAACCATGTGTGATAGATTCCATAGTCTTTCACTCTGTCCAAAGACATTACACTTATTACAATCAAATAGACAATGAAAACATATTGCATGTACAAAATAAAAATAAAGAGTTCGTCCTAACACCACCTTGTCATCTACATTAAGTTTTTACAGAAATGCATAAATGTGACGTAGGATAGCTTCAGGGTGTAAACTTCAAGATGTATCGAGTACGTAAGTAGACCGAGGGTTTGGGATGGTTTAAAGGAAAAAAATGGGGTATTTTCCAGTTGTTCAAGGCTTGAAATTCAAAGTCACAGGGTGGTTATGCTGGACTTTGACAGTAGATATTCCAACTGCTAAACCCGTCACACACACTTTACACATGAGAACACGAGGACACATGCATTATGTGTGCTATCCTAATGTCATAGGATTCCCGTTTATCCGTTTTCTTTTTGTGATATTATTTCTTGCATTCAAAGTCTAGGATATCCCCATACTTGCATACCCAATATTACGGCCAGAAAACTAAATATATACTATCTACCCCCATCTTCCATCTTTTCAGTTTATTTTTACCATTGGCTTCACCACCAAATAAGTACTTCCATAGAGGTTGATCTAATGATAATCTTTTTGAAGATGCCTAAATTGTATAAAAATTAAATTGAGTCACTGGGAGACACGGTAACTAAGATTTGACAAACAAGTTCCTTCAGGAGAAGGGTGTGAATAATAACATCAAATAAGGAGAAACATCAGTCTTCAAGATCAACAACAGATTTTTTACTTACAGGTACAAGTCATTTGGATCGATTTCAGGAAACAGGTTGATATAAAAGCGAAACCCATCAGGGCTTATATCTCTGCACAGCAAACCTACCAAAATATCCAAAATTAATCAAAATTCAACCATAGTACTAACATATACTTCATAGAAAGCATACACTCTTATCAAGAAAACAATATCAGAGTCTTGTCAAACAATGTTGTGCAACAGTGTACCTTTGCTTTCAGCAGTAAGAAGATGCTCCTTGGCCATGCCTGGTGCAATACCTAATGTAATTGCAGCATCACTAGCACTTATCCCAGTTCGAAGAGCATTAGGCTTCATTACAAGGGTCTTGATTCTAGCAAAAACCTAATTTAAAAAATACAGTGAGTTGTTTCATGCAACTTGAAATGGCTTCTGATGTAGAATGACAGATGTCATAATCAAAGACGCAAAAAAAAGTACATTCTAGCATCATACATGGCCGGATGTGTTTTTCATCATTTTATCAAGAAAAGAAAAAACAACGATGTGTACCATATAGCTTGAATGGAAGAATGAAATTTGCACAGTTGCCCTAAAGTAATAAAGAGAAACATAGGTGCCACGTAGGACCCAACCAAAATCTATCTCATTCCTGCTCAGGAATCAGATTCCTTCTGAGGAACTTGGAATTAAAATCACTCGCTTTCTCTTAGAACGTTAGAACTGAATCTATCTTCTTTTCCGTAACCAAAACAATTCATTTGAAGCAGAACGATGCAAGGGTTAGTGTTAAGTATGGCTATGGTGGGCTTTAATGGTAGTATTAGACTTAGTATACATGCATTCCACCATTTGGCTCGGAAGGTGCAAAGGGAATATGTTTAAACCAAAACAATAACACAAGTTTATCAATATGAAACAGCTTATGATGATATAAGATCACCTCTTCGTCACTGTGGGACTTATTCTGGATGACCATGACTCCACTATCAAACTTTCGAAGCATTACTGGGCTGCAAAGATGGAATAATCAACAAGATGGTATTATCGTACTCATGTCACATAACATTGATGTAGACAGGTATTCATTTTTTACTCATTACAATTAGTGTATGCTAGCATTTATGGTTTGCATTATTTACTAATGTATTTCCATGCTTTCAAATAAACAAACTGAAGAAATTCCTACATACACGTCAAAAATCTCCCAGAGAGAACACGCTTGCAACAAATCCTCAGGCGAGATCAGTTCTGCATAAAAAGAGATACTAAGCCACATTTCACCCTTTAAAAATTCCAACATGAACTCGAAACTTAACCGATTAGTGCTAACAAATTTAAAAACAAGCGATGAGATATTATCACACAACACCTGTGCCTCGAGCACGATTGAAGAGACAGTAGATGTCTATAAGATTCATCATTCCTCCAGCCCTCTCAAGTGGAAGTCTGACAAAATCTGCTAACTACTTATCAGAAACAACAGAAAATTAGTTTTCTTTTCTAAGACGAAGAAATTGGAAAAATAATAAACGACGTGATGCATTTTTCATCCTAATGACATAAATCAATACTATGTGAGTGTTACCTACAAAAACAAATAATGTGAATGTCCAATAAGAATGAACGTAAATATCAGATATCTTAAACAAGTCAAGACATTAGAGTTTCACAAGATCAAATAAGTTACGAGCAATAAATAAAATTTTCCTAGAACAACTTCACATAGCCTGGTGAAGAAACTAGAAAGTATCCTTCACATTCTGTTGCTTTTTAGATGTTAGAACGAAAACTGGGAACAAATTTAATTTTTCATATCGTGTGATGCTAACTTTCTTCATTGACAAACTGATATTCAAGCAACACAATCTGACAGAGATACATGCTGAAGTTAGCTAAAATCAGGAAGACGATTTTCTCAAATTTAAATTTCATAGTGTCCTCGCTTTGCTCTGCCGTCCAAACAAACAAGCCTAACAGTTCACTTGGCCTTACAAGTTACAATAACGAAGAGAAATTAAACATAATTGTTTCATTCACACAGAACACGGAAAGAAGACAACCTGACGGGACAATTGTTGGTGATACTGAGCACCCGCAGACTCCTTAGTAACGGGCGATATAATACCAACACTGAGCATCCAATCTTGCATCTCTTGTTTGGAACCCAATTCCTCATCATTTGGCTGCGAGCCGGATAAAAGCTTCTGCCTCATTTTTTCTGCTAGCATCACCATCTCTTTAGCCTTACTCTGTAAATTTAATATTACTCTACAACTTAAAACCATTCACAAACAGAATGCACGAACAATCAACTCGAATCGAAAATCATACAAGCTGAAAAACAAAAACAATTCAAATGCAGCAATTAAAATCCCTGAAATTCAAGAAGTTGTTTGTCATGGTAACCGAAAAGACGAGATTATTATTACCATGAGAGCATTCAAGTCCTGGAAAGCGTCCTGCAAGCTCTTATCAGTACTCTCCCACATCTCCTGTTCTTTCCTCAATATCCCCGAAACTCCAACCATCCTCACCGTCCCTTCCCTCGTATACAACCCGGAACTGGACGCCGAACCCGAAACCGCATCGGAGCTGCCCTGCTCATCCCCAATCTCCCAGGCTCTACCCCGCCAGCTCTCCCAAAATTTGCTCAAAAACGCGTCCAAATCGCTCTTCCCCCTCACCACCACCGTCACAACCACCGACCTCGAACCCGAACCGGAATCCGGAACCCGGCCTTCGGGCGAAACCGAGAGCTGGAATCTGAGTCGGGGCGAGTGGAACATGGACTTGATTGACTTTTTGGCGGCAAAGATGTGGGTGATGGCGGCGAGAGGGATGGCGGAGGCTGAAGAAGAAGCGGTGGGTATTGTGGTGGTGGAGTCGGGAAGCCATAACAGGCGGTGGGTGGTGAGAATGAGGAGACCCGATTTGAGGTGAGGGAAGTTGGGGAGGTCTTCGCATTCGAGGTCTACGGCGGAGAGGAGGGAACATTCGATCTCAGTTGGGAGGAGGACTGGGCGGCCGCTCGTAGTAAGCTCCACCGCTTGCAGGCAGTTTCCGGCCATTTGACAATCTTGTGAGTCGTGAATCGTGATATGAACTTCGGTTTACTCTAACCAAAGTGTAAGGTCAGCGGTAACCTCCTATGAGAAATGCCAAAAAAAAAAAAAAAAAAAAAAGTAAATTGTAACCATGATTGTTAACTTTAATTAAATTAGAGCAATGATTCTTCAACTAAAAATCTATTATCATTAATTCCTTAACTCATTAAAATGTATAGCTATGGTTTTTTTTGTCAACTTCGTTAGAATTTTGTCAAAATAAATTATGTTAGAAGGATCATTGCTATAATTGGGATCCCTCAACTTACCAAAATGTGTAGCTACGGTTCTTTCCCTCAATTTCGTCAGAATTTTATCAAAATGAGTTATATTGAAATGATCATTGCTACAATGAGGTTAAAGTTAAGGAATTATTTATTCAATTGAGTTAAAGTTGATGAATCATTTCTTCAGTTGGATTAAAGTTAAAGGGCCAATGGTAATAGATTAAGCGATTATAGTTCCACGTTTTGATGAGCTCATAGATCAATGTTAATGATTTTTTAATTAGTGAATCATTATTACAATTGAGGTAAAATGAAGGGGAGGGAAAAAAAAAAAAGAAAAAGGAGGGACTTTAAGAAAATACTTTTCTTGTTCCTTTTGTTTTACGTGGAACCCGTTGAGACGATTAAAACCAGAGGCATGACAAGGAACCCATCAATATCATCCATGGAGATTTCCCTTTCCCTTCCCCTCCTCTCTTCATCTGAACAATGCTGTTTATGATTACTTTTGAATTTTTATTCTTCTGAGCATCGGCATTGGCATTGGGTATTGCAGAATCCTAGGATCTCCACGCAGGTGACGGAGGCACCCTTTGAAGAAGAAGAAGAAGAAGAAGATTTTTAGCACATCTTCATCTCCTTTGTCGCAAAAATGATGCAGGTGGTAATTCAAATCTGGGGTTTCTTAAGCAATTCAAAATTGTTTGCAATCATTAAGTTTTGCTATATTATTTTACCGGTCGAAATTTTTTGCTATGTTGGTCAATGGCAATTTAGAGGCAGATTAAATCAGGAATTTGAGATTTTGTGGTTGATTGGCCAGCAGAATTTTCGTTCTTCCTTTTTATTAGTATCATTACCTGGGAATTATGATCATAATTGATATGAATTGTGAAGCGTAAATGAGGATAATAAATAAAAGACCTAGATCTTGATTTTAGTAACAATCTAGAAATTGAACATGTAGAATCCAGTGATGAACGCATTTCGGAGAATTTAATCTTTTGAATACTTGTTTGTGATATTTATTTATTTATTTATTTATTTTATTTTTGTTTCAATTCGAGGATGAAGAATTGGACTTCGAAATCCTTCATTTAACTTGCTGTTGGAAACTTGAAACTTACTGGTTAATTTGGTGTATTAAAGGCTGTAATTGTTTGTAGGAATTGTCTGCCATTGATGATCTGCCTGCAAGCAACGTGGAACTCAAACCAGAAAAGTTTGAAGGCGGGAAGGATGGAGGTCCTTCGTTCCATTGTGATCTTTACGACACAGAGTTAGTTCACAAGATAGCTCAAGTGTTCATCCCTGGATTAGCTACAGCTTGTGTTGACAACACTTCTGGTGATATCTTCCGGACCCCTGGTTCAGTGGCTGCTGATATCAGAAAGGAAATGGTGGAGTATATTACTCAGAGAAGCCAAAATTTTGTGGCAGAATCCGTTATCTTGGAAGGTAGCACAGATGCACAAGTATCTGATCATCCGTATGATATCATTTCTGATTTTGTCGATGACTTTGCAAGTTCCAAGAGAAATCTGTTTGGTCGGGTTTCAGGATGGCTGCTAAGTGAAAAAAGAGAAGATAAGATAGATGATTTTGTTCAAGAGATGGAAATAAACGGGTTTTGGTTGATTGATAAAAGAGAAGCTATAGCACAGACTCTGCTTAAAAATGTTGACTTTAAGGATGGACATCACTGCAACATGAAGTTTAACTCTCCAGAAGCGCTTGCCGAGCATGCTTCAAGCTGCAGTTTTAGGTCTATGACTTGCACAAATGAGGGGTGTACTGCTGTATTTTGTGCTAGCCACATGGAGAAACATGATTCAATTTGCCCGTTCAAGATAATTCCATGTGAACAAAACTGCTCCAATACCATCATGAGACGCCAGATGGACAGACACTGTATTACCGTCTGTCCAATGAAGCTTGTTAGTTGTCCTTTCTATGCAGTGGGTTGTCAATCCCCTGTACCACATTGTAAAGTTGAGCAACATCGTTCAGATGATATCCATTCTCACTTGCTTTTCATTCTTCAAACTATTCACAAGGAAGCGTCTGCAGAGGATCTAAAGAAACGAGTGGAGCAAGTAGAAAAGGTGAGTTTCTTCGTAGTTTGGACTCAATCATACTTTTCCATCCAATAATTGCAAGTCTCATGGACAAAGCAGAAATCTAATTGAGCAATAAGCTTTCAATTTGGTCTTTTTTGAAACAAATTCGTGGTAGTGTACACCGTTTTGCAGCTTCAGATAAGGCTTTTAATGCTTCAGGATATTGAGAATTGGAACAGGAAAGGTATTTTGCTTGATTGCTTCTAAAACAAGACTATGACGATTGGGAATATACATGCTGGAATTGAGTTTGTTGCAATGCTCCAATGTTTTTCTTTTTGAACAAAACCGTCCTATTAAGGTGCAGCTAAGGTAGTGTGCACCAGATATCTATAAAGTTGCAAATCTTGTACGTTTAGAACCCCATATAGTGTATTATACTCTATTTTAGATAACAAAACGACACTGCAAATCTCATATATTGCTTTAATTGTTTCTATTAGCTTTGTATTTTATAATCATGTCTATTTCCCTAGGTTATGATATCAAATACTTGTCCCCTGCTAATTAAAATGAGCACATTTCATTACATGACAGGCATCTTCATCCAGTCAATTAGTGGAAGCTCGAGATGTGAGGTCGTTAACATCTGCAGTCAAGGGTATTGAAGAGAAACTTGGTCCAATGGAAGTGACCAGCAAGCACCCAGAGGATGTTGAATCAAAGCTAGGGCCAACAGATTTGAGCAGCAAAAATTCAGAGGGTCCTGAAGCAATATTAGGGCCAACGGAAGTGACCAGCAAACCTGCTGAGGATCTTGAAGCAAAACTTCAGCCACAGGAAGTGAACAGAAGTGCACCAGAGGATGTTGAAACAAAACTAGGGCCAAAGGAAGTGAGCAGCAAACCCCCAGAGGATCGTGAAAATAAACTAGGGTCAAAAGAAATGAGCAGCCAACCCCGAGAGGATCTTGAAACAAACCAAGGGTCAAGGGAAGTGAGCAGCAAACCCCGAGAAGATCTTGAAACAAACCAAGGGTCAAAGGAAGTGAGCAGCAAACCCCCTGAGGATCCTGAAACAAAGGTTGGGACAAGGGAAGTGAGCAGAAAATCCCCAAAGGATGTTGAAAAAAAGCTAGCACCAAAGGAAGTGGACAACAAACCCCCCAAGGATCCTGCAACAAAGGTTCGGCCAAAGGAACTGAGCAGAAAATCCCCGCAGGATGTTGAAGAAAAACTAGAGCCAAAGGAAGTGGACAGCAAGCCCCTAGAGGATCATGAAGCAAAAATCGGGACAAGGGATGTGGACAACGAATCCCCGAAGGATATTGAAGCAAAACGGGAGCCAAAGGATGTGAAAAAAGAATCCCCCAAGGATATTGAAGCAAAATACGGGCCAAAGGAAGTGAACAATGAATCCCCCAAGGATATTGAAGCAAAAGTAGGGTCAAAGGAAGTGAGCAGCAAAGACTCGAAGGATATTGATGCAAACGTAGGTCGTAATGAAATCAGCAGCAAACACCAAAAGGATCTTGAAGCAAAACTGAGGCCGGCAGAAGTGAGCAGCAAACACAAGGATAGTGGAGAGAGTAGGGAAACCTCAACTTCTCAAAATGCCTTGGAGGATGCTGAAACATAAATCCTAACCTGCCAAGTCTCCTGTTTTACAAAACCTTATTCACGTTTGGTAGAGCCATCGCATTGCCAGAAACTGAGTCATCTGTACCTGTCCTCTTGGTTGTCGACCAGTCAGTTTGATCTTTACATAGATACTTCTATGATCAGCTTATTTTGTGCCTCATTGTTTATTCTTTGTTTACCTTAATCATTTTTTGTAAGCAATAGAACGTTGTTATACAGTTTATAGGTTTTACTCTGGAATATTTGTCTAGTGACAATGTGATATCACTTTTGTCAAGTGGCAGTGTAGCCACCTAGTTAAAACATCGGCGACATCTCTTTCTGTCAAGTTCTGATCTCTTCCGAGTACTAGACATCGCTTCAGTAGTTGTATGACTTGCATATATTTATGGGGGGAAAACATCACTGACCAACCCTTGTGTTATCCTCTATAGTATAGCGATTCCCTCGTGAATTTCTTTTAGTATCGTAAAACTCTTTCCTTTCGGTTATTTCAAGATGAAAGCGGAGCTGCAAACTCAACAGGCCAAATGCAAACAGAGGCCATACAAGGGAAGACGGTCAAAGTAAAAAGATTAGGTTCATTGAAAGATCAAATTTAGATTGTGTCCGAGTTTTATCCAACATGTCTATTCAACCTTCAAGAATGATTCAGCCTTTAGTTTACAACTCGGAGAAAGAATCAAGACTCCGGTGCTCTGTTATTCTTTGCCAACACAAGGCATTTGTTCTCATGGGTAGAGAGAACAGTTACGGGCAAATCTATGCAAACAGATCAACGCCCCAGAACTTGGCAGGTTGATTTGTCCGGTGTTTCCTGTCTACCCTTGCAATCAGGTCCATGTCCTCTTTGGTGAGCTCAAAGTCAAAAACTTGGAAATTCTCTTTCAATCTCTCAAGTTTTGACGTCTTCGGGATGACAACTGTGTTCCGTTGGATGCCCCACCTTAGAACAACTTGGGCAGCAGTCTTTTTGTATTTCTCAGCCAGATTCTGACAAAAGAGGAATGTGATTGAGAAGAAACAATCTTACTATATTTGACCGGTAATTTGAAAATAAATCCAGTAATTCAACTTCAAGCAATAAAAAAAACGAGCTTACCTTAAGAACTGGATCGTCTAGACATGAAACTGAACCAAACCACTCGATGTTGGCCGCAGCACCTCCAAGAGGAGTGTGGGCGGTGACACAGATGCCATGCTTCTGACAGAATTTGACAAGAGATTCACGTTGGAAGTATGGGTGAGTCTCAATCTGATTCACGGCGGGCTTCACATTGAAATAAGCTAAGCAATCTCTCGTCAGAAAGATATCATAGTTACTGCAGATAATTGTTCCATCAGAGCACAATTCATATGCAAAACAATTGACAAATGAATGAAATTAAAATGCCAGAACATAGACTACGAATCTTCCACTAGGGCTGGTGTCATATGTTGCACTAAGCATGAAAAGAGATAAAGAAAATTTAAAGGAGCTTCCCATATCATTTTGTGCATATTCAGAAGCACCCAAACTTGATACTGTGTGGCACAACTCAGAGAATGCTGAATTACTGATATAAACCTAGTGATATTGCGAAACAATTTATAATCTTTCTCTAACTGCACATATCATGTGTAAGTTTGTATTATGCGTCAACAAGCAATAGGACACAATAGTTAACCTCTTCCTGAACTAAACTATATGATATCTCCAACCGAAGCTGTATTTGTAAAAATTTATTACCATTTTAACGCGCACACACATTACTGCAACGTTTCAATTTTCTTCAGCACATTCACTTATATTTTTGTGAGTTGGTTTCCCATATATACCCCAAATGAACTAGGTTGCATAGCTAATACCGTAAAATATTGCACAGGAAGTAAAAGGAAAACGTAACCTAAATTCGCAATATCATTATTGATTCAAGTAATGATCCTTGAAATGTGCAAAGTTTGTATGATCACCTAATTCCAATGCTACGAACTAAACCCATAGAGACCAGCGCTTCCATAGCATGCCAGGTAGTTTCCAAATATATGGTTGTGTCTATTTCTAGCACCCCATCTTCATCCAAAGCACTGCCAGTCGTACCAACTCCTGCATGTATATAAATAAATAGACAGATGAATTCAATAATCTATATAAGAATGAAACTATTTGATGACTAAAAGAAAACAGTTCATAAGAGAATCCAAGATAAGAACGAATTTTTTTTGTCGTTTTTATATTTTAATCATCTAAGGGCACCATTTTAACTCTAAATTTTCACAATCATTTGTTAACCAGCATACATGAAAAAGAAACTAAGGTTGGATCTGGTACTCTGGAATTGGCTGCGGGTGGGGATGCCCATTTCCCCAATATACAGTAAACCTCTCTAAAGTTATACTGTTGGGACCAAACCAATTTTATAACTTTAGAGGTTATTACTTAATAGAGGTGTAGGAAAAAAAAATATTATTTTTTGACTTATTTATCCTTATGAATGCTGCATTTCTTAAATAGGATTCATTGGGCGCTAAGTATTTTATTTCCTGCATATTTTTGTACTCATTGATAATTATAACCATGTGGAGACGTGTTTCCTTAAGATGGGATCAAGAGAAATTATAACTTATTACAATATGGAGTTTATTCTAATACATAATTGGTCCCAAGTTGGCAGCGGAATTTTTTATTTTTTATTTTTTTACTTTAAGGAAGTTATTCCATTATAGAGTATTACTTTAGAGAGGTTTTAGTGTAATAGAATGAGCACCCACTTGAATTTCTCCCCCCGCTTCGGTTCCATTCGTACTAATAGAAAAGAAAAACCCAAGCCCAACCCAAGCCAAACCACTCACATAGTCATTGATTTTTTTAATATTCAGCATTTTAGAATCATCCATTGAACCCTAGTTTGATATGGATTAGCGAGTTGGATTAGTATTGCTTTCTGTTTCTTACTGAGCTCATTCAGCGTGCAATGAGTTTGGTTAGAATAGATTCTGCAGAAAATTTTCTTTCCACTTATCAATCACGTCCTTGACCATCCAAGCTGTAGAGACAACAGTTGGTAGCAAGGAAACTGTTTTCCTTTTGCTGTAATATATAGTTTTCAATCACGCACTACTCTTGTCAACCGCATTTAAAAAATAGTAGAGCACAGATTACATAATACAGAGAAATTTTGCTTTGCATAAAGTAGTCAAAAACCAAGAATTAATACCGGTATGCTTGGTGGCTACAGGAAAGTGAACAAGGTACAGATCCAGATAATCCAACCGAAGCTTCTTCAGACTGTCTTTACAGGCCTCTACAACGTGTCCATGATCCGAATTCCAAAGCTGCATTAAGGATGAAGAAACAGGAAGAAAAATAGATGTCATGGTCTGGACAACGACGGATATGGACTAGTCAGCTGGAGCAGCAAGTACGCTTGCCTTGGTGGTGATGAAGAGATCCTCTCTCTTAACAAGCCCAGTCGAAAATGCTTCTGCAAGTGCCTCCCCAACTTCTCGTTCATTCTTGTAATCAGCCGAGAGCAGCATTAACTCGTCAACGCATGTTACAACCGCAAAGGTAATTTGTGCAACAAGCTACGAATTACCGCCATATGGGCAAAAATGATTCTGAGAACGTAGATTCAAATGTTTTAGCAGGAACAAGAATGATCTGTAACCGGAATCAGATTCCAAATTTCGACTGGTATGATGCCAAAGGCCGGAGCGAGTCCGGATATCTTGTATATTACTATCTATTTCTACTGTCCTACATCACGCACACACAACACAATGCTCTAGCATACCAGAAGCAGTTGATGCAACGAAACCCAGATGACAAATTAACGAAAGGAAAGGAAAGAAATCAAACCCATATGAACAAAGTGTAAAGTTGGGTGAGAATTAAGGTGAGAAAATGAAGGAGAGAAAGAATGACGATGGATAGTTGGATACCAGCGCAATCGAAATGGCGATAGCCAAGGTTGAGGGCATTGATAACGAGGTCTCTGATTTCGTTTCCTTCCCACGCGCCAAACACCCAGACCCACTGCTGGCATTTTGAACCCACTGCTGAGTGTTATCGCCATTTTTCCCACCTTTCTTTCTTTCGAGTTCGGATTTTGGCCTCTGCCTCTGCCTCACTCACTGTAATATACTTGCCCTTCTCTCTCTCCGTATTAATGGCAGTCAAAGATGGAATTAAAGATAACATCCTCTTTCTCATGTGTCCAAGGGGGAGAGAATCAGAGATGGTTTCTTTTTGTCCATTTGTCACTCTTTTTATTCGTAACGCTATTACCAAAGTATTGAGCTTTAGGGAAATTAGAGAGATTTCTGTATATTCAGATCGATTTCAGGCGAGCATGAAGGATTTTGATTTTTCTTTGGTTTAGATTCATGGGTGTGTTATTACGTCGTCAAGAATGGCCGGCGTAAAAAAGATTGGAAAATTATTATGTTTGCGTTTTGAATTTGACTTCTAATCAAACGATTGAATAACTGAACAAGAAACCTCTTTTCAACCTAGGTTCTTTCTCTGCCCCAAAACAAGACTTTAAACGAACAACCAAATAATATGAAATGGTGGAGGTGAAGACCAAGACAGAATCTAAAAAGAATTGAAACTTAATCTACTTGCGAGAAAATAAATTAAATTAAGAACGAATGCATAGAAAACAAAAGTGCTTAGACAAATTGTCATTTAACCCCTAAACCTCAACTTTGTCTCTTTTTGCCTTTGTACTGCTAAAATATATTACCAAATCCATCAAAATTGTTTGCGTAAAACAAAGAAACTTATCATTGCAGAGATGTGTGCCGTATAAGAGCAAGTCCACTTATTGGTGGATTGGCAGGTGGAGTTCCTTTAAGATAGTTACCATTTAAAGTAAATAATTGTCACATCCAGGTCTGGACTTCACCACATTCCGTGCTCGACTTCGCCGTAGCACGATATTGTTCGCTTTGGGCTCCGACCACGCCCTTACGGTTTTGTTTCTGGAAACTCATGAGCAACTTCTCAGAGGGTCACTCATTCTGGGATTGCTCTAGCCCAACTCCGAAGCTAGTGAGCTCCCAAAAGGCCTCGTGCTATATAGAGGTGGGCATGTACATATAAGGCATAAAGTATCCTCTTCCCTGAGCGACGTGGGATCTAACAATCCAAGGAGCTCCCAAAAGGCCTCATGCTATATAGAGGTGGGCATATACATATAAGGTATAGAGGATCCTCTCCTTTGGGCGATGTGGGATCTAACAATCCACCCTCCTTAGGGGCCCGACATCCTTGTCGGCACACTTCCGGCCAGGGATTGGCTCTGATACCAAATTGTCACATCCCGACCCAGCTCCACCACA